GGGCAAAGGATATGAACAGATACTTTACGAAAGAAGACATATATTTTGAAATAAGGAAATGTGAGTCTTCTAACTTTTTCTTTTTCTAAATTGTTTTGGCTGTATGGGTTGCTTAAGATTCCATATAAATTTTAGGATTTTTTCCTATTTCTGAAAAAAAACTGACATTGGGATTTTGATATGCATTCCATTAAATCAGCAGATCTCTTTGGGTTGTATAATAGTATAATACCTTGACAATATTAAGTCTTTCAATCCATAAACAAACATGGAGGAGTCCTTCCATTTATGTGTGCCTTTTTACATTTCTTTCATTCATCAATGTTTTGTAGTTTTCAGTGTACAAATCTCTCACCTTCTTGATTAGGTTTATTCCTAAGTATTTTATTCTTTTGTTGCTGTTATCAATGGAATCATGTTTTTAATTTGTCTTTTGGCTTGTTTAGTGCATAGAAACACAACTGATTTTTGTGTGTTGATTTTATATCCTGCAACTCTCCATGAGAATTTATTTCATAATCCCATGTACATAGTAAGCTTCTGTTTCTGACCCTTATAATGTCCTGCAGATCACATGTTCTCTAGGTATCTTTCTGTTAATAAAATGTCTCTTTATTTTCAAGTTTAAAAGAAGAGTCTTAATTTAGGACCTTTAGACAGTGTTAGAAGAAATAAATTTCCATTACCTTCACAACAAAGTTAACCAGGTCAAAACCATTTAATAATGTTTTCACAATTATCTGTGAGAAATGAGACAAGTTTGCTGGGCTGTAGAATGGATATGTATTTTGGTGAAGTTTCCTAGAATGGGGCAGTCAAGGGAATTGCCTTCCATAGGCCAAGAAAAAACAGTGAAACTTTTTCATGTTATGATTCTCTATCAGTACAAGCTGAACGTTTGTCCTAAGAATTATCTTTGAAAATATAGCTTGTTTTCCCACTTGAGGAGGGGGTCTGTTATTAACTCATCAAGCTAAACACTATTACAGTCTGGCTTCTATAGCAGTCACATTGTCATAGCTGATATTTGTAACTGCCTTCTTCCATTGCCCTTGTCCTCAGGCAGCACTTCAACTGTTCCAGGTTCTTTGCCTGGGGTGGGAGGATGACTGAAATCTTCATTCCTGAATGAACTTTCCAGGATGTCTGCCTCAGTTGGATTATTGGAATTATCCATTAACTTGAATCACAAAACATGGGAGTACTAAGAAGCGCGCCACACATATCAGACATATTCCTCCTTAGCCCCTTTTGTGGTAGGCACTCAATTTGCCTTTGAGAGTCAAGTTCAATCACCCCAGCCAGTACAGTACAGCCGTTATTTGCCTGCTGATTGAGAAGGATGGGGAGTCCAAAGCAGCTAGCTGGAAGTCTCAACTTCCCATTCAATGGAGTCATTGTTGTTTCCACTAATCAAAGCATTTCTCTTTTTGGAGCTAAGATTTCTAGTCCAGAAGAGCATAGCATTGTGGGGATGAGAAGCAACATTTTTCCTATTGTATCTCTAGGGATGAACAGTGAGGGGAGGCACTTTCGTTTCCACACCTTGATTGCAGGACCTGTGAATACAGTCTATGGGAGAAACAGCACCACATATCTATGCATATAAACACTTGGATAGAGTATTACCATCTCCTAACAGCTGTTGCCCCTCAAGTTATTGCCACCTAGCCAAAAACATAACTGAGTCTTCCAAAGGTCATTATACTTCAGGATGAGAGGAAGCACATAATAAGACCAGTGAATTCTGTGAGTATTGCTCCATCCCGACACTCATTTCCTGTGAGGTGAGTTCCTTGTTTAGAAGTGGTACTGTGTGGAATATCATGATGGTGGATAAGGCATTTTTCAAATCTGCAAATAATTGGTTTTCTCAAAAGCACTGCCAGTGGGAAGGAAAATCCACATCCAGACTAAATGTCTGTTCAGGTAAGAACAAAGCACTTCTCTTTTTATAATAGAAGTGATCAATTGTAATCCACCTACCACCTGGTGGCTGGCAGATCACTCTGGAATCTGGTGCCATATTGGGAGCTTAGTGTTGGTCTCCATTTCTGGAAGATTGTTCACTCAGCAATGACCATAGCCAGGTTTGCCATGGTGAGTGGAAGTCCATGCTACTGCGCGTAGCTCCATCCTTGCCAGTTTGACCACTTTGTTGGTTGAGCCTATAAGATTGTGACCAAAGTGTTAGGGAAAGAGGCTGATTAATAAATATCTAGCTAATAAGCACATTATCCGATTATTAAAATTCTGCTTTGCTGAGGATACCCTTTGCTGAGAACTCTCATGAGACCCAAATGTCTTCACATTGCATGTCCGTTTGGACGGGTCTGTCCACATATTTTTTTCCTCAGACCTCCTTGTCACAAAGTTTTAATCATGAGTCCTCAAAGTCCCTAACAATTCAGCTAATAAATGAGACACAGCCTATGTGTGATACATACTTATACATCTGGGTATGTCTCCTCCAAGAAGGTGCACTGCACAAAGTTATTCCCTTTGGGAGGATTTCCATTCACCACTGTCCTTCAGGCCTGTCCCGGTCAGGACTGTCGTAATGCAGCTGTCCACTTCTGGCTTGTGTGGTAGGCAGGATTCTAATTACGCCCCACCAAGATTCTAGTCACATGGTTATTCAATCCAGTACTCACATGAGTACTGCTGCGGTGGGATTTTTTTCTTTATTGTACTCTAGGTTCTGGCATACATGTGCAGATCATGCAGGATTGTTGCATAGGTACATACATAGCAATGTGATTTGTTGCCTCCATCCCCCCGTCACCTATATCTGGCATTTCTCCCCATGTTATCCCTTTCCAACTTCCCTACCCCCCGTTGTCCCTCCCCTGGCCCTCCCAACAGACCCCGGTGTATGATGCTCCCCTCCCTGTGTCCATGTGTTCTCATTGTTCAACACGTGATGGGATTTTTTTAATGCAAAAATGAGTATTTCATTTTGATAACACTAGAAGAAAAACAAACAAAACACCTGTGTTCCTACATTGAAGCAAAAACAATGTTTAAGCTTTCACGTCAATCAAATATATTCCACAAGAAAATGTGTTCTATGAAGATTCCAAACACAGGCAAATCTTAGCACAATAGCCTAGGAAGCTGTAATACTGAAAATGACTCTCTTCTGACAGGGTACTTAACAAACATACCTTTTAAATTGAAATGTATTTATTTTTTATTTTTTTAAATATATATTTTATTGCATTTTAGGTTTTGGGGTACATGTGAAGAACATGCAAGATTGTTCATACATGGCAGTGTGGTTTGCTGCTTTCCTCCCCATCACCTTTATCTGACAGTTCTCCCTATGTTATCCCTCCCCAACTTTGAGACAGAGTCTCCTTCTGTCGCCCAGTCTAGAGTACAGTGGTGCTATGTCAGCTCACTAAAGCTTGCTCCTCCCAGATCCAGGGGATTTTCCTGCCTCTGCCTCCGGAATAGCTGGGATTACAGGCACCCACCACTATGCCTGGCTATATATTTTTAATTTTAATTTTAATGTTTTTACAAACATAACTTTTGATTTACAAAACCAGTGAAATAATCCCTTCCAAATAATTGTGTCAAGAGTGAAGCTGCTTGTTCTATTAAAACTCTGAAAATTTTGCTGTAATAGTCTTTACCGCTATAAACATTTCAAGTAAGTTTTGCTGCACTTAAAATAAGTTTTGAAAGTGGAAAAATGAGCTGGGCGCGGTGGCTCACATCTGTAATCCCAGCACTTTGGGAAGCTGAGGCAGATCACTTGAGGTCAGGAGTTTGAGACCAGTCTGGCCAACATGGTGAAACCCTGTCTCTACTAAAAATACAAAAATTACCGGGGCGTGGTGGTGCACACCTGTAATCCCAGCTTCTCAGGAGGCTGAGGCAGGATAAACGCTTGAACCTGGGAGGCGGAGGTTGCAGTGAGCCGAGATCACACTGCTACACTCCAGCCTGGGCAACAGAGTGAGACTCTGTCTCAGAAAAACCCACAAAAAACTAAAGTGGAAAAATATACAAAGTTCCAGATAAAAACGGTTAATAGATGCAACATAATGAGGTTTCCCCTCCTTTCTTGTTCTTTTTGTTTTTAGACAGTCTCGGTCTGTCACCCAGGCTGAAGTGCAGTGGTTCGATCAAGGCTCAATGCAGCCTCAACCTCCTGGTCTCAAGCCTCCCAAGTAGCTGGGGCCACAGGTACACACTCAGCTAATTTTTGTATTTTGTGTAGAGACAGGGTTTCACCATGCTATCCAGGCTGCTCTTGAACTTCTGGGCTCAAGGAATCACCCACTTTGGCCTCCCAAAGTGCTGGGATTAGGGTTCTGAGCTAGCACTGAGCCCTCCTTTTTCTTATCAATTAACAATAACAATAACAACAATAATGTTAACAGATAGAGGTTGACCTTATTTATTTTTTAAATTAAAAATTTTTTTTTTAGACAAAGTCTAGCTTTTTCACCCAGGCTGGAGTGCAGTGGCACGATCTGGACTTATTGCAAACTCTGCCTCCCACGTTCAAGCGATTCTTCGGCCTCAGCCTCCTGAGTAGCTGAGATTACATGCCCGTTGCACCATGCCCGGCTTAATATTTGTGTCTCTCCCTCCCTCCCTTCTTTCCTCCCTCCCTTCCTTCCCTCCCTCCTCCCTCCCTTCCTTCCCTTCCTCCCTCCTTCCTTCCTCTTTCTTTCCCTCCCCCTCTCTCTTTTCTTTCTTTCTTTCTTTCTTTCTTTCTTTCGTCTCTCTCTCTCTCTCTCTCTCTCTCTCTCTCTCTCTCTCTCTCTCTCTCTCTCACTATTTCTTTCCTTTCTCTCTCCCTGTCTCTTTCTTTTCTTTTTTTTTCTTTTCTATTTCTTGGTTGCTTGGCTGCTATGGAGAGCCAGAGTCTTGCTGTGTCATCCGGGTGGTTTCATCTCTCTGTGTCAGAAGTTTCTGCGTTCCTCTGTTTATATTGCTGTGCACTTGTCACGGAAGGTCGCCTGGAGAGGGCGCCAGAGTCAGTGAGGCTAAGGCTGCGCTTCCTGGTTTGGTGGGCTGGCGCCCTTGGTCCTGCTTGTTTATGAGGCTTCTTCTCTGGACTCTGGCGACCCAACAGGTTCCCAGTGAGCTTCCCTTCCTTCCATCTCCCTTGGGCACTATGGGATCTGTGTTTCTGGTGAGATGCTTCCCATGCACATCACTCCCAGGTGCTCTAGGGGGCACATTTCCCACAATTCTCAGAAGGCGCTTTTCTAGAAAGTTCAACGGGGGGAGGCGCCACAACAGTTTCACTGCCATTTTGTGCTGTAACGCTTCTGCTTCTCCGGCAAGGTCAGGACTTCAGGACTGTGAGTGGAGCAGTTTTTCCCTGAATGCTTTCATTTCACCCCGGAAAGGCTCCTTTGTCCTAGGAAAGCCTCTTTTCTGGGGTGCTCTCCATCGGGTGTGTGGTACGGATCACTGGGCTATGTGTTGCCGCTCTAAGGACACCGCCGTGGGAGCCTGTGTTGGCCGTGGGGGAACATTTTCCTTGGGCACCCAGTCTCAGCTATGTTGTGGGACTGGGGGGTTTTCTCGGGGGCTCTCTCTAGGTGATACGAGGGACTTTTTCTGCTGAAATGACCTGAACCAGGACGTAGGGATCCTGCCTTGGTTGCCTGTGTCAGCCTCGGGTTTAGGGGTGTGTCTTCCCCGCTCAGTCGCAGCCCTGAGGGGAGACTCTGCCTTGTGGACTCTACCCGTGCTCATGGGCCAGGGTGGGGGTGTCTGTGCCCCAGATGCACTATCACCTCTCTGTGGGGTCACTGTCATGGGCTTTATCTCAGCCCGCGAGGGACTCTTTTCTTCGAGTGCTGATGTCCTCTGTGGGGCGCATTTGTCTTTGGATGTTGCTGATGCTCAGCTAAGATGTGTTGGCCTTTCTTGGGTTCTGCTTGTCCCGGATGGGGATGCTTACCAAATGCTTTCCCTTGGTGCTGGGTTTTTTTTTTTTTTTTTTGAGACGGAGTCTTACTCTGTCACCAGGCTGGAGTGCAGTGGCGCAATCTCGGCTCACTGCAACCTCCGCCTGGGTTCAAGCAATTCTTCCGCCTCAGCCTCCCGAGTAGCTGGGACCACAGGCGCATGCCACCACGCCCGGCTAATTTTTGTATTTTTAGTAGAGACGGGGTTTCACCATGGCCAGGATGGTCTCGATCTCTTGACCTCATGAACCGCCCGCCTTGGCCTCCCAAAGTGCTGGGATTACAGGCGTTAGCCACTGCGCCCGGCCGGTGCTGGGTTTTTAAATTATCTGTGGGTGCTGTCTCCCGGTGCTGCAGGGGAGTGGGGTGCTGTTCCTTGGGTTCTCTAAGCCTACAGTGGGACACGGGGAGCTCTGTGTCGGCCATGAGGGAGGCCACCTGACCCTGGGAGCTCTGTCTCGCCCCAGATTGGGGTGCTTTTCCTCCATTGGTTGATCTCAGTTCTGAAGGAGCTCTTCCCCGGGGTACTATCTGACCTTTCAGCCACAGCCTGGGGTGTCTGTGTGGGAGTCGGTGTACAGAAATATTCGAAGATTCCAGCTGTGCCACATTCACACACTCGCTGTACAGTTAATCTTTCATTCCAGTTGCTCTGATGGGTGTGCAGTGATTTCTCCTTAATGTTTACACTTGCATTTCTCTGCTGATTAATGAAATTGAGCGCCTTCTTAAAAAAGTTTTTATTTATTAATTTTTGTTTGTTTTGAGATGCGGTATCTCCCTGTTCAGGCTGGAGTGCAGAGTCACCACGGCACCACGCCCAGCTATTTATTTATTTATTTTTGAGCACCTTTTTATGTGTTTATTGATCATTTAACTATGTCATTTATAAAGTTCCTTTTCAGGTCTTTTCCCCCAGCTTCTACTGAGATGTTTGCAATTTAAAAATGGATTTGTAGTTTACATATATTCTGGATTTCAGTTATGCACACATACACACAGGCATATATGTACATAGATAAAAATATATGTACAATTTTAGTATCTTCCATAAATCTGTTTTGTTTTTACACCATCTCAATAATGTGTTCTAGATGAACACAGCCTCCTAATTTTATTAATCCATGTATTATTTATGGCTAGTGCTTTTCATTCTTTTAAGAAACATCTTTGCCTCACCGAATGCCATGACAATAATGTTCTTTATTATGATTATTATACTTTAAGTTCTGGGATACATGTGTAGAACATGCAGGTTTGTTACATAGGTATACATGTGCCATGGTGGTTTGCTGCACCTATCAAACCATCATCTACCTTAGGTATTTCTTCTAATGCTATCCCTCCCCAAGTCCCCCCACCCCCCTACAGGCCCCAGTGTGTGATGTTCCCCTCCGTGTGTCCAAGTGTTCTCTTATTCAGCTCCTACTTATGAGTGGGAATGTGTGGTGTTTGGTTTTCTGTTCCTGTGTTAGCTTGCTGAGAATGATGGTTTACAGCTTCATCTATGTCCCTGCAAAGGGCATGAACTCATCCTTTATATATATCTGGCAACAAATGTATATATAAATATATATATATATACATAAATACATATGTATATGTATGTGTATAATTAATATATATTTTTATATATGACCTGTACTATATACTACATAATATATAATCTATAAACAAGCTTTGCTTTTTCACTCTCTTAGTAGTGTCTTTTGAGGAACAGAAATTTTCCATTTATGTCTAATTAAACAATTCATTCTTTTTAGTTAGGGCTTTCTTATCTTCATTAAAAACACCTTTTCCTATTCTGCAGTTGTTAAGACAATATCTTAAGTGTTTTCTAGATTGTCTATCCATCTTTAATAACGTTTTGTGGAGTGGGAAGAGGTAAGAATCAAGGTTTGTATTTTCCCTGCATTTATCAAGTGCATTTATTAGAAGCACTAGCCTTTCCACAATGATTTACGGCTCCTCTGTATTTTCCATTTCCAGATTCTTTCTGGCCTCTGTGTCCTCTTCCTTTGGTGTATTTGCCTGTCATTGCTCCAATACCTCACTGTTTTAATTACTCTACCCTTATAGTAAATCTCGTATTTAGTAGTACATATCTACCAACTTAGTTCTTTTTCTTAAAGGTTGTCATGGCTTTTCCAAATCTTTAATTTGCATATACTTAAAAATGTCAATTTTCAGAAAACATTTTGTTAACATGGTGGAGTTTAAAATATGATTCCTATGATCACTGTGAGAGAATTAACAATAATACCTCTTAATAATGTCTTCCAATGAATGGCAAGAATATTTTTCTCCATTTACTGCAGTCTTGAATTTCTCTCAGTGATGTTTTATAATTTTTGTATAGTACCCTAATGCATCTTGATTTGATTTATTCCTAAGTATTTGATGTTTTTGGTACTGTTTTTAGTGGGATTTGAAATCTCATATTCTGATTATTTGTTATTAATTATACAGAAATACCAGTGGTTTTTATTATATCTACTAACTTTACTAAGTTTGCTTATTAGTCACAATGATTTTATTCCTTTGCATTTTCTATGTACAGAACAATGTCATCCATGAATTATGACAGTTTTATTTCTTTCCAAATTTTAAACCTACTATAGTTTCCTGATGCTACTGCAATTGTTAGAACCTCCAGGAAATTGTTGAATGGATAGTGGACATCTTTGTCTTCTTTTCAAACTCAGGGAGAAAATCCTGACATTTCACTATGAAGTATGGCATTTACTATTTTTTCTGTACATATGCTGGCCAGAATAGGAAAGTAGCCCTTTTTCCTAAGTTGCTGATAGTTTCTAATCACGAATGGACTTTTAAACATTGACCCATGTATGAAAATGATCATGTAGTGTTTCCCTGGTTTTGTTGTTGTTGTTGTTGTTAATGTGGTGCATTACATTTGTTGATTTTCAAATATTAAATCAATGTTGCCTTTCTGCAGTATTCTCCACCATGGCTGATGTATGTCCTTTTTAAGTACTATGGCATTTTAGTTGCTCACCTTTAGTTTGGAATTTTTGTGTGTAAGTTCAGAGGTGATCTTGGCTTGTAGTTTGGCTTGATCTTGTAGTTTTTCTTTCTTCTAATGTCCTTGTCAGATTTTGTTATCAGGTTTGTATCAATCTCCTAAAATAAGGACAAAGAACAGGAACTATTTTTCCTAACAAGGGTTAATACAGATTGGTTTATACATCTTCAAATAGGTAATAATATTTTTATCTACTTTTGGTTGACAAGAGCTGCTTATTCCACAAGCATTCTAACTGATTTTGGTTGTACCATCTTTCTTTGTTTTTTACTTAGTGTACATTAATATAGATTCCTTTTTCCTGAGAACAGAGTGTTTATTGAAACTTGGTAAATCTTGGCTCATGATTAAAAGTGAAATCAATGATTCAAAGTCTTGGTTGTATACACATATGCAGAACTGTTTGCCATTTTTGATTGATAGATTTTTATTATTTTTGAGTATGTTCATTGATGTTTTTCAGGAAACAATGACCGATAAAACAGAGAGAGTGGCTGGTGATCCTGAAACCGTATTTAAACGTCCCAGGGAATGTGATAGTCCTTCTTATCAGAAAAGGCAGAAGATGGCCCTGTTGGCAAGGAAACAAGGAGCTGGAGATGGCCTTATTGGAGGCTCTGCCATGTCCAAAGAAAAGAGTAAGTCAGCCTGTCCTCACCTCCTCTTCATGCTGTGTCCAGTGCAGTTGGCCTCCTGCCTGTTCCCCTCCAGAGAAACTGCCCTTGTCAAGGTGAACAGTTTCACCTAACATGGCCATTAATTTCTCAGCAGCATTTCACAGTTGTTCACATGCTTCTTCATGGAAACTTTCTAGGATTTCCATTTTCTTCAAATTTTTTTTTTTTTTTTTTGAGACAGAGTTTCGCTGTTGTTACCCAGACTGGAGTACAATGGCACAATCTCAGCTCAATGCAACCTCCGCCTCCTGGGTTCAAGCAATTCTCCTGCTTCAGCCTCCTGAGTAGCTGGGACTACAGGCATGCACCACCATGCCCAGCTAATTTTTGTAGTTTTAGTAGAGCCGGGGTTTCACCTTGTTGACCAGGATGGTCTTGATCTCTTGACCTCGTGATCCACCCACCTTGGCCTCTCAAAGTGCTGGGATTACAGGCTTGAGCCACCGCGCCCGGCCCCCAATCTTTTTTTTTTTTTTTTAATTTCTTGTCCTCATTGGTGAATCCCTATCATTTTTTTCTTTTGAGATGGAGTTTTGCTTGGCCAGGCTGGAGCGAAGTGGGGTGATCTCAGTTCACTGAAACCTCCGTCTCCTGGGTTCAAGTGATTCTCCTGCCTCAGCCTTTGAGTAGCTGGGATTACAGGTACCAGCCAGCATGCCCGGCTAATTTTTGTAATTTTAATAGGATGGGGTTTTGCCATATCAGCCAGGCTGGTCTTGAACTTCTCACGTCAGGTGATCCACTCACCTCAGCCTCCCAAAGTGCTTGGATTACAGGCATGAGCCACCGCGCCTGACTCCTATCATTCTTTTTTTCTAACTTTCTTTTTCTTCTCTTCTGTGAATACTTTAAAAAATTTCTGAACCCCAGCATGTCTCTCTCTCCTTCCATTCTAATCTGCCATGATGAATCACTGAGCCACTGTGATGTCTCCATGTCTCCCATTATTGCCCGTATCTAACACATACCCTCCAAACCTGCAGCCAGGTTTTCATGTTGACATGTAAATCACATCATGCCATATTGCTCTTGAAAATCATCCTTAATTCTCCTAATCACTCAGAACCGACCGTGAACTAGCTTTAGTCTGTGAGGTTTTGCGTGGCCTTACCTCTTTTGCCCTCTCCTAATACGGGGCCCATCCATCTCCTGGCTCTCTCTGCTTCTGTCCTTTACCCCATAGTGCCCAGTCCATCCCCACTCCAGCCCCTACCCGTGGCCTCACTGCAGCCTGGAAATCCCCTTCTGCCTCTGCACAGGCTGCCCCACTTCTTCCTCCAATCGCTGCCCAAGGGCACCTCCTCAGAAGGCCCTGCCCAACCAGTGGCAGCTCCTGGGGCTCCCTCTGCTCCTGACTCCCACAGGCCTGTGGACAGCTTCCCCAACACCAGCCCAAGGCTGTTTGTTTCATTTGCTCATTGTGCGCATACTGTCTGACTGTTCCATGAAGATGTGAGCTCCACAGGGGCAGGGAACATTGCTCTCTGGGCTGCTTGCTACTGATTCCCAGCTCCTGGATTGCTACTGTCACAATGAATAAATGAAAGAGATGCCAGACCCAGAGTGAAAAGAAAGTCACAGTTCTGACACAGAAAAGAAAGATGAGGAAGATCATACACTAACACAGATTTTTGGTGATGGAGTGCATATAGAACTTTCAGTACTAATGGTGGCTTCCATTTTCTCAGAATATATTTGATATAGAGAGGAGGCAGGTTGTCGTGTATCCAAGTTGTCTGGCTTCCAGCTGAGTAAAGCATGGCGGGTTGTATGTGAATTTGAGAAATCATGATATCAAGTGAGACTTGCTGCTTTCAACTTATAAAGTATAACAAGCTGACACTAACAGATGAGTACCAGGGACCTGTGAAGGTTTCCATATGTATTTATAGAGCCAGAAACTAAGAAATGGTTTTATTGTTTTATGTGTCCTGGCCTCAATTCGTCAGGTCTGGGATTTCCCCCTGGTATATCCTCCCATCTATGAAATAAATAATTCTCTAGAAACTGAGGAGCACATAGTTGTACCCAGAGGGGTGATGAAAGACACATTTCCCACAGCTCAACTTCTCAGTGTGGTTTTCAGATCTGTCATTCATGATGTCTATGTGGAGGGGAAAGAACATGGTGAAACTCCAACTGATGGCTTTTTGTCAAAATCTGTTTCACCAGAGCTTAAGGTAGGAGATGGTATTCCACTGAGCCAATGTTATTGGATTGATGAGTTCATCGGCTTCAGCAAAGATGGGCTGATGCAGAAACGTGATAGAAATGCAACTGTAGGAGGAATCATTACCAGCAATTTCTCTGCAGATGACCTAAAAGTCACAGAAATACTCCTCTTTCCAAAAAGCCAAGAAAAAATTAATTCTGATATAAAATGTCAGTTAATGAAGGAAATTCAACACTTTGGACAAAGTAAGTAGTGTAAGAATGTCTATTTTTAAAAAAAACTAAAGTTTCTCTTTCTATAATAAAAAAGCTATCCATGTTACCTGTTGAGGGTAATTCTTTGCCAGAGTTGAGTTTGCACGTAATTTACAGTGGTTCCTCTTTTCTTTGACTAAAATATAGGACACCTTTTCTTTTTCTTTTCTTACTTGGGTGTGGTTAAAAGAGTTTCATTTGTATGTTTGTACAGGTGCCTTTTTATTATTTAGATTTTGTATGTGCAGTTATCTTGATTTAAGCATTTAAAACATTTTAGCCTGTGAAGCATGATCAGTGAGGTATAGATTAACCGAGATTCACTCTGTTCTTTTTTATATTTGATAATACTGAAGTTTTTTTAAAAATCCTCAGTATATGAAAAAATCTTCAAGTTGCTTGATGGACTGCAAGGACCTATAGAAGTCAAGAAACAAGTTTTTGAATCCATCATCAAGGAAGCAGCAAGGTAGGTAGAGATAGGAACTGTCCAATTTCTTTAAGCACTTGGGCCCAACATATTACTGGCGGTGAGCGTGAGGGAATGGCCCCTGCCTTGAGTTTCTCACCCTGGCCCACACTCATAGTTATGGCTGTCTCCCCAGTTACTTAGGTTAATGTTATCTGAATCTAACTCATCCTTCCAGGCCTGTGGAGACTTCCATTCTCACTGTAGTCTGAGGACGACATTGTCCCTCAGTTGGCACTCTTCGTATTTGCTAGATTACCACTTTTAAAAAAATTTGTGTAGGTACATAGCAGATACATGTACTTCTGGGGTATATGAGACATTGTGATACAGACAACAATGTGTAATAAACACATCAAGGTAAATGGGGCATCTATCACCTCAAACATTTATCTTTTGTGTTACAGATAATCCAATTATACTCTTGTTGTTTTTAATGTACAATTATTACTGACTATAGTTACCCCATCATGCTTTCAAATACTATATCTTATGCCATTTTTGTACGTATTAATCATCTGCACTTCCCCTCACCCCCACTAACCTTCCCAGCCTCTGGTAACCGTCATTCTACTCTCTATCTCCGTTAGTTCAGTTGTTTAAAATTTTTGCTCCCACCAATAAGTGAGAACATGCGAAGTTTGTCTTTTTGTGCCTGGCTTATTCCACTTAACGTAATGACCTTCAGTTCCATCCATGTTGTTGCACAAGACTGAATCTCATTCTTTTCTATGGCTGAACAGCACTCCTTTGTGTATATGTACCGCGTTTTCCTTACCCATTCAGCTGTTGGTGGACACTTAGTTTGCTTCCAAAGTTTGGCTACTGTGGACGGTGCAGCAACCAACACGGGAGTGCAGATATCTCTGCGGTGTACTGACTTCCTTTCTCTTGGGACTATACCCAGCAGTGGGATTACTGGATCATATGATTGCTCCATTTTCAGGTTTTCGAGGAACCTCCAAACTGTTCTTCATAGTTGTCATAGTAAATTATATTCTCAACAAGAGTGTATGAAGCTTCCCTTTTCTTCACACCCTCGCCAGCATTTGTTATTGCCTGGCTAGACTACCCCTTACCATGCAGGTGCATTTCTGTCTCCATGCTGACTGTTACTTCATCCTTCTATCTCCCACAGTGCTTCCTACAGCATAGGTTCTTTGGCTCTCTTTTGGTTAAAGACACGTCTCTTTCTTTTCAGGTATATGAGAGGAGACTTAATTCCACACCTTGAGAAGAAACTGGAAGAAATGACGTCTGGCTACTTGTCCAAGAAGGAACATCAGACCCTAAATGCATAATCTCTTTAATGATTGAGGAGAAAAGAGGATCAAATTGCTGTTTTCTACAATAGAGTAGGATATGGCTGAAGCCTCCTAGCATGTGTTAGTGAATAAAATGGCCTTCCAGAGGCTAAGAAATTTCTGTCAGTAAAAGTTGGTCTTTTTCCCTAAGCATTTCATTTGAAAGGATAACTTGTTTGCTGGTTGGTTAATTTTCCCACCTGTGCTGGCAGACATGATTAACCCATCAGGTAAATACTATTACAGTCGTGGTTTCTGCAGCAGCCCACATTGTTGTAGCTGGTATTTATAACTGCCTTCTTTCACTCCCCATTTCTGATTCCCTTTGCCTTGAGATGGCATGTCAGCTGCTCATGGTGCTTGGTCTGGCAGGATGACTCAAACCTTCATTACTGAACAGTCTGAACCATTAGATGTCCTGCCTAGATGGCGTTGCTGTAATTTTTCATTAACTCTGATCATAAAACACAGGAGTACTAAGAAGCTCTCTAGATATGTCAGGCATAGTGTTCCTTAGCCCCTGGTCTAGTAGGAACCCAATATCCGTGTTTTTTGTTTGTTTGTTTTTGTTTTTTACTTTCCATCAGCCGAGCCAGTAGTGGATCCCCTCAAGCCAGTTTCTTAGTTCAGATGAATGAAGAGTTCAAAGTGGTCAGCTTGTAGACACAACTTCCATTTGAATGGAATCATTTTTGGTTCCCCTGTTGAAAAAATTTCTCAATTCGTAACTAATACCTCTAGTCCAGCAGAGCCAAAAGTTTGCTTCTTGATATCAAAGTTTGGTTTTGGAGCACAAGAAGGAAAATTTTGCTACTAGATACCCAGGAGTAACAGTGAGAGAGGCCTGCGTATTGCATCCTTCATTCTTGAGGACATAGATGTAGCTATAGGAAAAATAGTTCCATCTGCTTGATGCTGCGATACAGCATTGCCACCTCCTAGACTGTCAGCCAAGCCCCCAAGGCACTGCCGGGAAGGCATTCCTACATCTCAGGTTTTAAAAGATCATTGCACTGTACTATTGAGCCAACCATTACAGCATGGGGAAGAACATCAGGAGACTCGTGTAATGCATTAGTATGATCTCATTGCCATATTCATTTCCTGTAAAGTGAGTTGCATGTTTTAAACTGGTGCAGTATGGGATACCACGATAGTTGATACAGCCTTTCGTTACAGCCTTTCCTAATACCACAGTGTTGGTTTTCTTGAAGCGCCGTGGGTAGGAATGAAAATCCTTATGCAGAAGAAGAGTCTATTTGAGGAAGATCAAAGTGATGCCCCTTTACCTGTGGAAGCAGACCAAAGTAATCAGCGTGCCACCTGGAAGCTGACTGACCAGTCTGGGACATGGTGCAATACTGGGGAATCAGCATTGGTCTCTGCAGCTAGCAGGTGGAATAGTCAGCAGTTACTGTAGTGACGTGGACCTGGTAAATGAAAGTTAGTGTTGCCAAGCCCATGAACAACCTCTGTCTCAGCCACCATAATCATGATGCACCATGACTGCTTAAAAGATAGCGGGGTGCACCTAAGGAGGTATGGATGTGGGTCAAGTAGCTTACTGTGGCCTCGGCGAAGACCACAAGTATATGGGTACCTCAGTTCTACAACTTTAAGAAGTTAGACCTGCCAGTAACCCAAATGAGCTTGAAAAGAGTTTCTCTCTGAGTCTTCAATTAGTCACCAGCCTGGTTGATACCTTAACTTTGATTTTGTGAGACCCTAAGCAGAGAATCATATCCAGACAGCCTGGATTTCTGATCTACAGAACTGCTTATATATTTGCATTGTTCTAAGCTGCTAAATGGGGGATGATTTCTTTTGCCGCAGTAACAAACTAATACATGTGGTGCCTGCATATTCGGAAGTAACAAATGAAAATCAGTTATGATGTTTTTTATTATCTAGTCTACTGGTCACAGGGAACTACACATGAGAACACCGGTGTAGGATGAGAGAATTTTCTCTTTTTTCTGGGCCCAATCCATGCTAACAGGGTTTCAGTCACTTGTCAATGGGTCACGGTACTGAACAACATTGAGGAATGTGCTAAAACAAGCACCTATTACAAAAAAAAACAAACCCAAAACTTAACCTTGTTGACTTTGCGTAACTACCAAAACTGGGGATATGCCAGACCTGGATCCTTAGAAGACTGGCCTGGCATCCCAGCACATCTCCAGGGGCAAACTCACTGGACCAAAGAATGGGGATGTCAGGCCCAACAGTCAATACCAAGGGATTTTGTTGCATCAAGTCATGGGTTCCTTAAGTTCCTCCTCTTAATTATCGACAGTAGTTCAAATGTCCCAAAAGGAAAAAGTGCTTTCCTACATACCTTTTATCCAGAGCAGTTCCCCTTCTGCCTTTACAGTAATCATGCCAGTGCTCCCACTTTCGTAGAACTCCAGGACAGACAGTGTAGCTGAAACTTTGTCACCAGGTCACCTATCTGAGTCAATGCATCTGCAGGAACTAAACTAATAAGTGGACACCTCACCCAGGAAACCAATTTTTTTGCTCTATGATGTCCCTGGAATGGCACCACCTCTATTTCCTGTCAACAAAGCTACAACCTCTAGGTTTTGCTGAGGCCATCCTTGCATGAAAAGCCCTTGTTCGCCCCATCTCAACGTATCCCCCAGGGACTGTCAACATAGCCTGTCTAAAGATAACTTTGCCTGTGGTCCAACCCTAAAAGGGGAAGTCCATTGAAAGATCTTACTAATACCGCCACTGAACTCTACCATTCATTAACGGGTCCAGTAACCACTGCCGACAGCGGCACAGAAACTTTCAATTATACGCCAGAAAACGGGAGACCCCTTTTATCGGCCCTCCACTGCTTTCACCACTTTAATGCAAAATACTTTTGCAGCAGAAATTTCAGCATCAAACAAATTTTGGGGGTTTGAGGATCTTCAGCATATCTACAATTACCCACTGTGGAAGGGGCGATGCTCTATCACTTACGTTTCCCTTATCTAACTTTCACATGGGCTAACACGTCTCTCCCTTTCCCCGTGTACCAGCGTAGCAAGATTCAGCTCCCAGCAAGACCCTGTATTCCCTTAAGTTTACTACTGCCCTCTCTATGGGGATTATCATGGTCAGCTACGGGAGGTAGAGCCTCGACATCCAGCATAACCGGTTTGAGGAGATGACGGTGGCCCTCCCACGAACGGCAGAGGGCCTCCCTACACTTCAACAGCAGCTGGACTCCCGAGCCATTATAGTCCGACAAAACCGAAAAGCCTTCAATCTTCTCACAGACGGTCAAAGACACACGTTGGTATGTGAGAGATGAATGCTCTTTTTACATCAATCAGTCTGGTTTAGCCCAAGAAAATATCAGAAATGTCATCACCCAGGCAAACGAAATGAATACTTTAGGAACTTCCATGGGAACTGGAAGCATTAGCTATTGTCTGCTCTGCTCCCTTTAACATTGCCAGTCGTTAACATACTTTTAGCTTTGACTTTTAGTCCCAGTGTGTTTAAAATGCTGATTTCTTACTCTCTTGCTTGCAGCTTCTCCAGGTCCATATGATGGTCTTGCAAGGCTTTCAACCTTGGGTTGCTAATGAGCTATCTCATGTCTTGCCCACCAGTCCAGTGAAACATGTGGTTCCCATCCCGTAGGATCAGGCAGGAAGAGACGTTAGGGCCCAGGCTAGGCAGGGAGAATGCCCCACTCAGCAGGAAACAGCATTAGAAGAACATTAAGCGGCCTAAAACAACACACGTGTATTATCCACAGTTCTGCAAGTCAAGACCAGGAAGGCTCAACCGGCCTCTCTGCTGAGTCTCTCCCAAGGCCAACTCTAAATGGGCCGGCTGGGTGCTAATGTGGAGACTGTGGAATAATCCACTTCCGAGCTTATTCAGGTTATTGCTCATTTGGATCTAGTTCCTTAAGGTAGTAGGAGTGTGGTTCCCATGTTTTGGTTGGCTGTCATCCAGGGACTGCTTTAAACGCTTAGAGCCACCCTATACTTTCTCGGGCGCACTGCTTTATCCTCAAAGAGGGCCTGCTGTGTCACATCCTTCTTGTGCTTTGACTCTCTTAGCTCTTCTTCTGCTCCTGTGTGATGAAAATGCTCTACTTTTCAAGGATTCCGCTGCCAGGTCTGGCCCAGCCACACCACACTCATGTCTCAAGGTTAACTGACTTGACACCTTAATTCTCCGGCAAAATCCCACCATAGCAGTATTAGGATTAGTGCTTGATTGAGTATCCGGGAGATGGGAATCTGGGGAATCAGACTACAGCTGTCTCAGTCAGCTCCAGCTGCTATCACAGAATACCACAGACTGGGTGGCTTCATCACCAGGCATTTCTTTCTCATCGTTCTGGAGGTTAGAAGTCCAAGATCAGGAATGCAGCGTGCTCAAATTCTGGTGGGGGTCCTCTTCCTGGCTTGTAGTCAGCCACTTTGCTATATCCTTACATTTTGAAGAGGCATGGAAGAACAAATTCTCTTTTCTCTAATTAGAAGGGCGTTAATCTCATCATAGGGACCCAACCATCATGACCACATCTAAACCTAATGACCTCCCAAACAGTCTACCTCCAAATATCATCCCATTGGGATTTAGGGTTTCATCGTATGAATTCTCAGAGGTCACACATATTCAGTCCGTTCATAATGCCTGCCAACCACGCAAGCCAGAAGTGGGCAGCAGCATTACGACAGGACCAACTGGGATAGCCCTGAAGGACAGTAGAGAAGGGAAATCCTCCCAGAGGAAAGAACTTTGAGCAGTGCTCCTGTGTGGAGGAGAGATGGCCAGACTTTTAAGTGTGTATCCTTGTACAGGCTGTGTCTCATTTATTGGCCGAATGATTAGGGACTTTGAGGACACATGATTGAAAATCTGTGACAAGGAGGTCTGGGGAAAAATATGTGGACAGACCTGTCCGAGTGGACATTCATTGTGAAGATATTTGAGTCTCATGAGAGTTCTCACCAAAGGGTAACCTCAGCAGAGCAGAAGTTTAATAATCTGAAGGATAAGGTACCTATTATCTAGATATTAATCAGCCTCTCTCCCCAACACTTGTGTCACAGCCTCATGAGCTCACAAAGTGGCCAAGGTGACAGGGATAGAGATTATGCTTCAGAGGCATGGACTTCCACTCACCAAGGCCAACCTGGCTACAGTCGATAGAGACATCAGACAGCCAAGGGTCCCTGGCTAAACTCCACTTTCAAGCCTAAAACGGCCTGAAGGTTGAAAAACCAGACTGCTGGTCCTGAATGAAACCCACAACCCAGAAAAAGGATTGTCACTGTTTGCTTGCCCTTTCCCAACTGAGTCTTTCTCATTAATGCTGCCGGGTACCCGGGGGAAGAGGGTAGAGCCATGGGAAAGTTGTGTCTCGTGCAGGAGTGGCAATGGGGAGCCTGGTCTCTTCGGTTTCTGTGTGATGGCACAGAAACAATCTGGGAGGTGGGGGCCTGTTAGCAGGATTCCCTCTCGCTTTGCTGAGAGTTCTTTCCTCCCTAATTTTCCTTTTCAACCGACACATTCCCCTCCTCACCCTGTAATGTGTGCGTGAACTTAATCTTTCCTGGTCATGTGACAAGAACTCAGTTTCAGCTGAACTAAGGAACAAAATTCTGTAACATAGTCATTGCTGAGTGTACAATCTGCCAGAAACAGAGAGCAACACTGAGTCTCTTATATGGCACCTGTCTCCAGGGTGATCAGCTAGCTACCAGATGGCAGGTGCTTACATTGGACCACTTTCAATATAGAAGGGACAGGGCTGTGTTCTTACTCAAATAGACACGTATACTGACTATGGATCTTCATTTCCACCCACAGTAATTTGAGAAAATCAACATTTGTGCAGTTAGAAAAAATGCCTTATTTACCACCAGGGTATTCCACACAAGGCACTCACAAATAATAAAGTGTAGCGATGGGCCCACCCTCATAGGAATTCACTGGTCTTAATATTTATATTCCCTTATCCTCCATCAGCCTTTTTTAAGGTGGTACTGTCTTACCCACATTGGCCTTGAACTCCAAATCAGGCTCCCGAGCTGTCCCACATTATCTTAAGATGACTGGATCAACAGAACTGTGCGATGGACTTGAGGAACTCAGTTATAGTGCAAGCTAGGTGGCAATGTCTTGCAGATCTGAGAAATCACTTAGGAAGCAGTGTTTGCTGTATATTTGCATCCAACACAGTTTGCTTTCTTTCCCATAGTCAGGATTCTTGGTCCTAGATTCAAGGGGTATAACTGGGGGTGTCTCTACTCATACTCTATACCCCAGTGACCCACTAGCAAAAACGTTTCCTATTCTCCTGATGTTAGGCTCTGCTGAACTAGAAGTCTTATTTCCAAAGGAAGAAATGCTTTCACCAAGGGACACAACAGTGATTCCATTGAAAAGACATTCATACTGCCAGCTGGCCATTTTGGTGTCTTCATCACTTTCCATCTAGAGGCAAAGGAGGGGGTCATCCACTGGCTTGGGATGATGAACCTGACGATCAAAGGGGGATTACTTGCACTACACCAGGAGCTAAAAAGGAGTATGTCTGCTGTGTCTAGAGAGCTTCTTAGTCCTCCCATGTTTTCTGATTACACTTAATGGAAAAGTACAGCAACCCAATCCAGGCAGGTATCTAATGGTCCTTCAGACTGTTCAGTGATGAAGGTTTGAGTCATCCTGCCAGGTCAAGCACCATGACCAGATGACATACTATCTCAGGGCAAAGGGAATGAAAAATGGGTAGTGAACGAAGGCAGTTATAAATACCGGCTACAACTATGCAGAAACCATGACCGTAATACTAAATACATTGGTGATTTCTCAACTCGTATCCCTCCTCAGGTGGAAGAATAAACCAACAAACAAACCACAAAAGTCTAGCTTTTACTAACAGAAATTTACTAAATTTCAAAAGCTCCATCTTTTCTTAGCTTCAGGAAGGGAATTTTCTTCACTTCAAAATTACAGGAAGCTTCAGCAATGACCTACTCCACTTTACAGCACATGTCCTTGTTTCTCCTTGGTATTTGCATTAACACAATTATTTTTTCTCATGTGCTTAACTTTGCTGAGATGGCAGTGGGAATCTACTCTTTTAGCACCTTCTTGAGTTGCTGAATTAAGGCAAAATTTTTAAGCCTGAAATGAAAGAGGTATTCCATTAACCAGAGGATACCCACGGCATCTGTGATATGTAAGAGGTAGTAGTGGATACAAAACGGACTTTACAATGTACATGCAGATAGAAAATGCATGCTCATGGAAAAATACAAACTAGAAAGAGACCAAGTGAGTCACCTGAGGGCCCACACCCACTCCCAGATTATGATAAATTTGGAAGGCTCCATGGCATTGGAAAAAGGGGTTAGAATAAGAAAATATCAACCTACATGCCTGTGGAAATAGCATGAACTATGACTGAGGGCCAGGGATTAGGAAGAAGAAGGCATGATTTCTTCCTGCTCCTGTCCCAAACTGGGCACAAGTGCTTAAAACAATAGAAGAGTTTCCTTTTGGCACCCACCTTGCTGCTTCCTTAATGGCAAATTTAATAAGTTGTTTCTTGACTTCCATAGATCCTTGTACTTCATCAAGCAAAATGAAAATTCTTTCATAATCTGAAGGTATAAAAAAATTAGTATTTCTAAAATTATGAAAATGAAATATACTTCAATCTCATTGCATCCACTACCGCAGTATACATTTTTTATGGGCTACAACGTTACACAGTGTTTGTGTTTTGAATGCTTAAATCACATCAGTATATTACTAAGGAAACTATTGTGAACACTAACAAAGAAAAACACCTAAGCAGATGTATTTGAAATTTTCAGTGAAATTAAATAGAAGCCCTGCTAAATTACAGACAGATCCAATTTAGCCAAACAATGAGCTCAAGGGGCAGCATAATTGAGTTCTAAATCATAGAATGGGAGGCTTCTCAGGCTTTCATTGATAGACATTCTTGCACTACTTACTTCGCCCACACCTTCGAACTTCTTTTATTAATTGATGTTTTATATCATCATTAATTTTCTTTGCCATAGCAGGAGATATTCGTGCTGTATTTGGCACAGTTTCCACCGGAGACCTTGCTGTGACTTGTGAATCACCTGCAGAGACACGGTAGTTTTGGGCTCCTACCACAAATTCGTTACTATCAGGTTTGTAAAGCAGCTTATCTTTGCTGAGACTAGTGCAGTTGTAAGACAAAGAATCTAATGTGTTGGGTTGCATACAATCTCCTGTCATATTTATAAGCTCTGGGGGAGCAGAATCTGACAGGAAGCCATCAGGTGGGGTCTGACCATTTTCTATCTCCTTCTGGATATCATGAATGACAGTAGCATCTGGAATCCAAATGGAAAAATTGAGCTGCGAGGTAAGTGCATTATGTCACTCCCACAGGTATATCCCTCAGAGGCTCAGTTTCGAGGAAGTTATGTCAGAAAGCAGGAGGATATACAAGGTGGCGATGCCAGACCCCTCGGACTGAGCTCAAAAAAGACAATACAACAAAACCACCTGCTTCCCTGCTGGACACTATGCATGCATACAGAAATCAAGTAGGACAGTACAACCAATACACAAACATACACAGATCCCTGCTACTCCTGGATGAAGCACCAGCTCCTGACAGATTACTACACCCTGGTGGAACCGCTGATGAGGAGTTATCAGGTGCTTGTTGGCCATTATTCGTCTTCTTCTCATGGACATTGTGAGAGATGGTGGCATCTGGAAAAAACATGTAGAGGCCGAGCTGTGAGGTTAAGTGCATAATGAGAGCCCCACAGGTATATCCCGCTCATGCTCAGTTTCTAGAAAATTATCCCATAAAGCATGAGTATATACCAGGTGGCAACCAGAGAACCCTGAAATTGAGGCAAGAAAAGATAATACGACAAAACCACCTTCTTCCCTTGATGACACTATGCCCGCATATGGAAATCAAGTAGGACACAACTTATAAGGAAACATACACAGATCCCTGGTACTCATGGCTAGGATGCTAGCCCCTGTCATATTAGTAAGTCCTGATGGAAGAGTTGACAAGATGTTTTGAGTTGCTGGTTGGCCGTTTTTTATCTTCTCTTCATGGACATTGTGAGTGATGGAAGCATCTGGAAATCAAGTGAGGAGGAGGAGGTGTGAGGTACGTGCATTATGTGAAGCCCCAGGTATATTCCACTGAGGCTAAGTTCCAAGGAAATTATGCCATAAAGCAGGAGATGATGTGCCAGGTGACGATCTGAAAACCCTCAAACTAAGCTAACAAAAGATAATACAACAAAACCACCTTCTTCTCTTTATGACACTATGCATTCATATGGAAACCAAGTAGGAAGTACAACTAGTAAACAGATCCCTCGTAGTCTTGGCTATGATACCAGCTCCTGCCAAATTATTAAGCCCTGGTGTAACAGTGGGCAGGAAGTTATCAGGTGCTAGTTGGCTGTTTTTTATCTTCTTTTCACCGACATTGTGAGTGATGGTAGCATGTGGAAACCAAATGAGTTGTGAGAAAAATACATGATGTCAACCCTACGGGTATATTCGCGATGCTCAGTTTCTAGGAAATCATTGCATAAAGCAGGAGGACAGGCCAGGTGGTGTTCTGAAAACCCTAAATTCAGGTCACAAAAGATAATACAACAAAATTGCCTCCTCCCTTTCATGACACCATGCATGCATGTGGAAACCAAGGAGGACAATCCAACTTATAAGCTAACATATACAGATCATTGTTACTCATGATTGGAATACCAGCTTTTGCCATGTTAATAAGCCCTGGTGGAACAGCTGACAAAATGTTATCAGGTGCTTGTTGGCCATTTTCCATCTTCTCTTCACGGACATTATGAGTGACGTAGCAACTGGAAACCGAGAGAAGACGTCAAGAGCTGTGAGGGTCAGTGCATTACAAACAACCCTGGCAGGTATATCCCTCTTATGCTCGTTTTTAGAACATGAGCTCATTAAGCAGAAGGATATACCAGGGTGGCTATCTGGAGCCTCCAAAATGACTCACAAAAGATAAATAATAAAACGACCTTGTTTGATGTATGACCCTGCATGATTATGGAACCAAGTAGGAAACCAAGCAGAAACAACCAGAAACAGACACTGAGCCTGGTACGCAGGGGGTGGAGTACCAGCTCCTGATACATTATAAGCCCTGGTGTAATGGATGACAAGAAGTTCTCAGGTGCTCTTTGACCATTGTTCATCTTCTCGTCTCCATGGACATTGTGAGTGACTGCAGCATCTGAAAAACCAATAAGAGGTTGAGCTGTAGGTAAGTGTATTATGGTAACCCTACAGGTATATCCTTCTGACACTCAGTTTCTAGGAAAATATTTCATGCAGCAGGAGAGGATATGCTGGGTGGCGATCTGAGAACACTCAAATTGAGCTCACGAAAGAAGGTACAACTGAACAACCTCCTTCCCTTGATGACACTATGCATACATATGAAAACCAAGTGAGACATTCCAACTTATAAACAAACATACACAGATCCTTGGTACTCATGGCTGGAATACCAGCTGCTGCCTTGTTAATACACCCTGGTGGAAAAGTTAACAAGATGTTACTGAATTGGAGTTGGGCATTTTCCATCCTCTCCTCACGGATGTTGTGAGGCGTGGTAGCATCTGGTAGCAAAATGACCAGGTCAAGCTGTGAAATAAATGCCTTATTTAAACACACAGGTATACTCTTATGATGCAGAGCTTCTAATAAATTATTGCATGGAGCAGGAGGACATGACGGCAGTGTTCTGAGACCCCTCAAATTGCACTTAAGGAAGAGAATACAACAAAACCACTTTCTCCCATTTATGACACTATGAGCAGATACGGAAATCAAATAGGAAAATCCAACTAATAAGAGAAGATACACAGTTGTATGGTACTCGTGGCCAGAAGAGCAGCTCCTGCCATACTAGTAAGCCCTGAAGGAACATTTGACTATATGTTATGCGGTTGTGGATTTGCCATTTTCCATCCTCTCCTCATGGACATTGAGATTGACTATAGCATCTGAAAATCAAATGAAGAGATTGAGCTGTGAGGTACGTGCATTATTTCAACCCCACAGGTACATCCCTCTGATGCTGACTTTCTAGGAAATTATCAAAGAGAGCAGGGGTGGATATGCCAAGTTGCCCTCTGATACCCTTCATATTGAGGCCAGGAAAGTATGTACAACAAAATTACCCTCTACCATCCATGAAATTATGCCTGCTTAGGGAAAGCGAGTAGGACAGCACAACTAAGAAGCAGACATACACAGATCTCTGGTCCTCCTGGATGAAATTCCAGCTGCTGCCATATTACCAAGACCTGTTGGAGCAGTTGACAAGATGTTATCAGTTGCCGGTTGGCCATTATTTATCTTCTCTTTACGGACATTGTGAGTGACTGCAGCATCTGGAAACCAAAGAAGGTGGTTTTGCTGTGAGGTAAGTGCATTATGTCAACTACATAGGTATACCACTCTGATGGGTAGTATCTAGGAAATTATCTCATACAGAAGAAAGATATACCAGCTAGTAATCTGAGAACCCTAAAATTGAGGCCAGGAAAGACAGGAAAACAACACTACATTCTTCCCTGCTTACACTATGCATGCATGTGGAAACCAAGTAGGACAGTACACCGAGTGAACAAACTTACACTGATCCCTGGTACTCATGGATGAAACACCAGCTGCTGCCATATTAATATGTGTAGGGGAAACAGTTGGAAAGACTTTATTGGGTGCTCCTTCAGCATTTTTAATCTTTCCCTCATGGACACTGTGAGTGACGGTAGCATCTGGAAACGAAATGAAAAGGTTTAGTTTTGAATTAAGTGCATTATGTCATCCCCACAGGTATATCCCCCTGATGCTCCGTTTCTAGAAACTATTTCATAAAATAAGAGATGATATGCCAGAAGGCCATCTGAGAACACTCAAATGCAGCTCATGAAAGATAATACAACAAAATCACCTTCTCCCTTTCAGAGCACTAGGCATGCCTATGAAAACCAAGTAGGATAGTCCAAATGAATAAGCAAACATACACTGATCCCTGGTGCTCATGGCTGGGAGACCAGCTGTTGCCAAATAAGGAGGTCCTTGGAGAACAGTTGACAAGACGTTATTAGGTGTTAGTTGCTTGTTTTCCATGTTCTCTTTGTGGACATTTTGAGTGATGGTAGCATCTGAAAACCAAATGAAGAGGTTGAGCTGTGATGAAAGTGCATTATGTCAACCGCACAGGTATATCCCTCTGATCCTCAGTTTCTAGAAAACTATAAAAGAAATCAGGGTAGTATATGCCACGTGGCTATCTGATACCCCTCAAATTAATGCTAGGAAACTATATACAACAAAATTAACTTGTAGCATTCATCAAACTATGCCTCCTTAGGGAAATCAAGTAGGACAGTACAACTAAGAAGCAGATATACACAGACCTCCGGTCCTCCTGGATGAAATTCCAGCTGCTGCCCTATTACCAAGACCTGGTGGAGCAGCTGACAACACGTTGTCAGTTGCTAGTTGGATGTTATTTATCTTTACTTCACGGATATTGTGAGTGACTGCAGCATCTGGAAACCAACAGAAATGGCTGGGCTGTGAGGTAAGTGCATCCTGTGAACGTCACAGCATATCCCTCTGATGCTCAGTATCTAGGACATTAATCTCATAAAGAAGAAGGACATACCAAGTAGCAGTCTGAGAAGCTTTAAGATTGAGGCCACGAGGCAAAACTATCCAGGACATAGGAGTAGGCAAGGACTTTATGAACAAAACACCAAAAGCATGGGCACAAAAGCCAAAATAGACAAATGGGACCTAATCAAACTCCCAGCTTCTGCACGGCAAAGAAACGTCACATAGATGGACGGCAACCAACAGAATGGTGAAAAAATTTTTGCAGTTTACCCATCTGACAAAGGGCTGATATCCAAATTTACCAAGAACTCAAACGATTTACAGAAAAGAACCAACAAGCCCATTCAACGTGGGCAAAGGATTGAACAGACACTTTACGAAAGATACCATATCTGAGGCCAACAACCATATGAAAAAATGCTCATCGTCACTGGTCATCAAGAGATGCAAATCAAAACCCATTGAGATACCATCTCACCCCAGTTAGAATGGCTATCATTAAAAAATCTGAGACAACAGAAATGCTGGAGAGTATTGGAGAAAAAGAACACTTTACACTGTTTGTGGGAGTGTAAATTAGTTCAACCATTGTGGAAGACATGGTGGCGAGTCCTCAAGCCTTAGAAATAGAATTCTATTTGACCCAGCATCCCATTACTGGTATATATCCAAAGACTATAAAATCGTTCTACTATAAGACACATGTACATGATGTTTCTTGCCGCACTGTTTACAATAGCAAAGACCTGGAATCAACCAAAATGCCCTTGATAATAGACTGGATTGGAAAAATGTGGCACATATACACCATGGAAAGATGCGCAATCAGAATGAGATTTTGTATCGTTTGTAGGTACATGGA